GGTAAATACTCGTATTCAACATTAGCTTGAGAGCTGAAATTGTATTTTAAAGTCAACTAGCTCATAGACTAATATTATTCAATCTTAAAAAAAATTACCGAGTTTCAGATTTCCCGGCTAATGTTGACTATAAGTATTTACCAATACTAAGGCCTGCGGCCTGCGCAGGTATATTCCGCAAGAACTTTGGACTGCCGCCATTTTGTAACGGCTGAACCTTTACTACACTTGACCAGACCTTTAAAATGATGTGCATATCAACCTATGCTTACATTAAAGATTATGTACCTACTCCTCATGGGCCGTCCCCTGGTTAAGGTCAAAAAATGGCAATGCTTGCAAAAAGTAGTTCTCATACTTATAAGATGATGTGAAAGGTTTGATTTAAAAAAAAAAATAGTTAAAAAGATACTAAGCCGTTTCCAGACTTTTTTGTCACCCTGTATATTGACTAAGAATAAATAATCGATTCAACAATTTAATTTAGAAAATTTGTAATTCGAGACTTATACCGAGAAGTCATTTATCTCAAACGAAAATAAAATCCGCTATTACATTCAATATAACGCTATTAAATTGAGAATGCTTAACAGGTTTAAGCTTAAAAGCATAAGCCTTTGCATTTACTGTGAAGTTAGGCATATTACCTATTTCAAATATAAGAGCCTTTTTATTATATTGTTATGTTGGTGACATTGACAGCACCTTGGTCGACAATGTCTCTTTGCTCTAATTTTCAAAGAGATTTTTCAATTTGTGCATTTCTCCTTGGTCGTGAAAAGTTCGAAGTAGCTGTAATCTCTGGCTTAGGATTAAGTGGAAGTACTGGATTAACTCAATTAATCAAAATAGGGAACACACAGGAGAATTTTAAACTCTTTTTGAAGAACTCCGGCATGATGATAACAAGTTTTTCAAATACTTCAGAATGTCTGAAATAGAATGCTCTTTATCCTACAAATTGTTCAAAATCCTCTCTCAGAGCAGAGCTAACTAGTTTCCACGCTTCTTTCGTTGCATTTGTCCTTATAATTATCTAAAGTTTTATCTCACAGAACTGGTTTTGCTTCCACCAATGAAATCAAAACATCATTGTCAATAATTATCACTTCAGTTGCTGTTTTTGATTCACATGCATATTCATTGAAAGCTGTTGTCACTCACAATTAATTGTCACTATTGTCACTGAAAGACAAAACGCAGTATGCAAAGTGCACAGCGAGAAGACACAGTGAGTACTAGGACTACTGGGGAGAACGCACGACATCCGACAAAAAATCGTAGTGTGGACGAGCGCCCATTTGATTCCAGTGATTGGTACGCCACTGAGAGCACAGTCGGGCGACAGTCGTGGATCACAGTGGAGCATTATGTGTTGACTAAGTCGATAGTAGATGGAGCTACGCAAAGCTTTGTAGCTGGTTAATTAACAAAACTTCGATAACCACAAAACGGAATCCAAGAGAAGCAGTTAAAGACCTTAGAATTGTTTTCAGATACAATGATGATAAATCTGCAATGGAGTATGTTTTGGAAATGACCTAACACTCATACAGCAATAGGGGATTATGTGTTAATCATTATTTTAAAACGAAAGACCAACAGTATCACAAAACAAGCTGTTTGTTACATCGGTCCCAATTAATCACTAAAGCTGCGTCACACACAGACAACATCGACTGTTGTGTCAAGTTTTGTCATGCTTTGTTTACAAAGCTTTCATTAAATACCACAAAATCAGTATTTTCTCTGCAATAACAGTGGAAATACACTACCTATTTGTAATGCTCGCAAATAAGTACTGTGATTAATTTATTGTTTTAAAATTACTAGTCAAATATAGAGGGTTTTTCATGATGTGGCACCAACAAGCTATTAGACACTCATTTAAGTCTTTTAAAACGAGAACAAAATATTCTAAACTGAAACAAAAAAGGTTTTTATTATAAATTTGTTTCCATTCGACGTCTAAAAAAGATTATTTAGGTTTTTAAATAAATTTAGAAGTTAATAAAAGTAGTTAATGAGATGATTATTATAAATTATAAGATTATAAGATCACTATTCGTATAAGCGAGAGAACGATTTTATTCTAAACAAAGTGCTTTACTTACGATTTTGCAAAGAAAATATATTTATACAATTTTTATTGCTAGTTTAATTTTTCCAAAACCATTGTTTTAAAACCATTGATTAACTTTTAACCTGTTGATAATGGGCCTGTTTATTTACCATACGATCTCTTAGTCTAGTGACCTTTGCATGGTGGTAAAATAAAAGCAAAATCTTCCCAATGGTGTAGTTAATAATATGCAAAGGAGCTAGTAAAGTTTTATCCTTGATTTGATTTAAAAATACTTTACTTTTCTTTTGTACTTTTCAATGAAATGGCGAACATACAAAGTAGACATTTTAAGTCAAGTATGAATGGAGTTAAGAGTATGATGAGTGGCGCGCTCTTGTAGTCTTGTTAGTGACTAAGGCCGACATATTCCTTAGACACGGCTGTTAATTAATAGCCCATACAGCTAATAAGTGACCTACAGTTTATACTGGAATCCAAACCACATGTTTGCCTTGGTATTAACGAACTGGTCTAATTATCAAGATAGTACTGCGGATAGTCGTAGTACTTACTAGTGCGGACGTAAATCCACACCAGGGAGTATCGCATCCACTGTGCATGCCTATAAATATCCACAATTCGTGATCTCCTAGTAGTTGGATTACAGGAAATTAAAACAAGTATTAATACTACTCAGTAGTAACCATTGCTTAATATACTATTGAATATTGAATGAACTTCTTTGTAATTACAAGCAATTAATACTCTATAGCTCAGACTAGCCTTATTTATCTATTACATTTCATTCAAACCGTAAACACAGGAGGCAGCTTTCTTTTGACAAAAACGTGATTGTCAGCTTTACAATGTTAAAACAATAAAAAAACCTTTAAGAAATTTGCAATACAAAATAATATTTACTCAACTAATTCATTTGAGTGTTTAAAAAGTATATTCAATAATACAGTTAGTAAAGTAACAGAAATAAGTTTGTAGGTTTGACAGGTTGAGAGGCGGAAGACAATGAACGAGACTGGGTTTCAGAGACTTATTTGTTTAAGTTCAGCCTTCTTTAGCCTGATACACCGGCAAAGTTGTCAAACACAATTGTGTAGATATGAACCTGAGCTGACAATATGGAGAAATCCTCATCTGAATACACTTATGAATCTTCCTCAAGACAAATCTACTTTGGAAACTTTTGATTGAGTTTCCCCTCTCTGTATTTAAACTGGATGTAATAATATTTATTTTACCAATCTCTGTAAGTAGTTAACAATATTTATAAATTGATTTTTGTGATTTTTGATATTTAGTATTGAATTTGGATTTATAGATTCTAATATAATTATAATTTGTACACCAAATATTTTGCTTTGAAAATACAAAATGTAAGAAAGAAAGGTTAAAGACAAAAACATTTAGTTTTTTATTTACTTTTAGTTATACAGCATTTTACCAGCAGAGACGAGTAAATAAAATATTTGTTGCTTTAGTTTATAATGTAATTTAGTTTGTTTTGTATTTGTGCTGAAAACAAAATTGTAAAATTAATTTTATCCTTTCTTAATTTATATTGGATTGAATGTTATATATATACTAGTGTACCTTTTGCTCCAATCAAGCAATTGGGAAGTATTGCAGGTGTTGTTTTAAAATGATTACAGTAATAATTTCTGATGACTTAAGAGTTGACTCGAAGATTATGGAAATACTCACGATGTATATATATTTTTTGTAAATATCTTATCATTTTTCAAAAGCTGATCTAGTTTTTTTTGTATTTTCCACAAAAGTCTCCCGATCATAGCCGCATCAGGTTGTCCATAATAACGATTATAAATAAAAAAAAAACAAAAAAACATGATTTATATTCCTTCTACTTGGTGGCGATCTATGAATTTCATATGTCTCCATAGTTTGCAAACGGCTCTTTCAATGATTGATCAAGAAATGCAGCCCAGTGTTAATTTAGTTTTCTTGTTAGTATATAAAGTATATATATATAAATGGTCCAGGCTTTCTATATTTTTTCCATTGTACTATTCACGCCAACGCAAATTTAAATAGTATATTTTTAGTAAGTCAGTTTGCAAATCTACACATTTGGACGAACATTTTGGTACATAAAATGTGGGGATAAATCTTTAAACAAAAAGCCTTATTGTTTGCAAAGTTTCATGTAGCGTATTAATAATATAGATTATTGCAATAGCCCTATCATTACTGACCCTCATACATGATTAACTAATATGATGCACGAATTATTGTTTAAAATTTTATAATCTTATAAATATCACACAGCCTTATACAATTCCTTTTTCAAGATGGGTAGCCCCCGATTCCTAAGATAATACACTACTGTACTGTAATTGGTTGAAAATACCTGTACTGCGGTAATCCAATAATACAGAATGTTTTCCCTAGTAGAAACATTCAATATGTGAAACTTTTCTTCGAGATTTCAAACAAAATAATAAGAATTGAAAATTTTTTTAGTTGAGATATAACTGAATAAGGTAAGTATTTGTTTGATGGTTGAAAAGTAAATCCATATTTCTTTTTGGGTTTAATAGTCATGGTTATTAAAACAGCTGGTATTACGCAATAACACAACTGTCATCAAATTAACACGACCACTCGCAGCCATCTCTGTATACATGGTCTAACATTAACTGCTAGAGAGTTTATTAACACGTTTCCCCCATCAGTTACACTCCTCTGTATGTATCTTTGGAAACGCAAGTAAATTCCACACTTTTCATAACCTTAAAATACAAATCCTAGCATATCGGTGTCTCATAAATTTCATGCACATCACCTAAATATCTAACAGTAGCGAAACATTTAGTAGAACAAGAATAATTTTTTTTTATTCAAAAGCATCCGTTAACATTTAAATGTCCAAAAGCTTATGAACTTTTTCAACACTCACCACATTCTCCAGGATGCTGTACCCGCACGTTCTCCTGGTTTCTGCAGGCGTACATGCGGAGAGCACACAAGCTGTTGTAGGTGTTGCCGTCCGTGCCGCACACGGGCGAGTATGTGACCGGACACTCAGCCGGACAACGACACGTCGACCGTCCGTCCGCACCTTGCATACAACTGGCACCGTGCGTGCACGATGTCTTGTCGCACAGTTCTGGAACAATAACAGGTTTTGTAACGCTATGGTTAAAAAGGAACGGGAATTTAGGGAAATATTATTGTAAGAACTAGATGTAAATATGTTAGATAACTTCAAGTACTAGGTGCTAGCTAATTTCTTCTGAAACTATCTTGATGTGGTGGTAGGGCTTGCGTAGAGCTATGCCGGTGGTAGCGTAGTCTCCCTTGCCGGACAAGTCTTTTATTTGTGAGGTAGGAGCCAGACAAGAAGGAACACCCTGGTCCCCCAGTTTAGGGTTTGAGCGTTGGCCAACAACTTACCTCTTTAAAAAATGCTGTTATGAAGCACCAACAAATATTAGCCTCCGAAATTGGACAAGATAAACACTTATTTGAAGACACGGATTCGCCCAAAATATCTTAAAAGCAGACATGGAGAGAACCGGAGCAGTAGAGGAAGATGCAGAGGACTGGATAACGGGGCAAAGATTTTTTTGTACGCTTACCTCCAACATTTATGGCCGTAGGAGTAAGAGTAAGTGTTAGCTTATTCTATGGAGAAGTGACAGAAGATACTTAGAGTACAATAAGCTACCGCTAAAACGTCCTACATGCTATGTACTAGCTATGGAGCAGTGACAGTATAAACGTTTTAAGCAATAAGGTGTACGTCATGTTAATAACTAACGTAGGACATGTAAGTCACGCATAAAACGTCTCATTTTGTAATTATGTTTAAAGGAGTGATAGCTATTTACCTTACAAGTGTAGTAAGAGCGTTTTTACATCACGCAGGTGAAGGTTGTGCAACGAGTGGAAGCGAGTTGCATAATTTACCTAAGTGATGTAAACACGCTCTTGCGTAACGTGTAACGTACAAGATTTTACCTGACCCGACAATATACAGGAGGTTAAGAACAATATTAATCATGATACATTTCACTCATCTTCTAACAGTGACGTTCATTTACAAACAAAAGCTAGGTTAGGAAAATTCTTCAAAACATGACAATAAAATTCAAGAGCACAACTGATTTCTAGAGTTGAACGTCGTTTTCTCCATAGAGGTATATTTTTTAAGTTAATCACTCAATGTTATTTAAATGGGTTTCATTACATCACCGAGTGAGTTTTTGATACTTTACATCACTCGAGAAGTAAGGAAGTTGTATACATCACGCTTGGGATAGGGAAGTTTAACATGGCGGGTTAGGTAAAGTTATAAAGGTCCTTTTGCAAACGAAACATTAACTCCAGTTCGGTAGCACGTACAGAACCAATTTCAATTGGGTGATTTGATTATTAAGACTGTATTGGATACGTTCGTTTAATTTTAATTCTGTAATATTGTGTAATGTTGCTAGTGCCAGTACTACTGTGGACACTTGAATGGATAATTTACTAACTTCCAGTGAATGGATGGGTAATTCACATTTGCTCGTTTGGTATTGAAGCTATTGCTGAAACTCATAACCAATGAGTATTATAACAGGCAATCTCAACATAAATTGACATTTTAGGTGGAATACTTTACTAATTTTATTTGCGACTTTTTAAAATACGTACCTCCCATTTAAAAAGCAAAAACAATAATTTAGTAATGTTTATTATTGACAATTGGGGTAATATTTATAAATGGTTCATCAAACAATGTCCATTGTTTGTTTGAGCACTAATTAAATAAATTAACATTTAATTGCTTATTGTTACTAATGAAGTATAAGTTTTTCTTTCTCATATTCAACTACATTCAAATTTTTTTTAGACAACTCTTGTGCAATTTGTCTTTTCTAATCTCGATACAATTTCACTGTTTTGTCCCTAGTTGAACAAATACCTTTTTTAACATCCAGAAAAAAAGGCTATTGTTGCTAGTAAAGTTTTTGTGGATATTTGTGTAAGTCTATCGTAAGTTTTTTGTTTAAGTTATGAACCATATATGTAACCAAAGTTAATACAACTCATAGTATTGAGATTCAACGTCTTAATCTACAATATCGAAACCTTAGTTTCAAATTCACTGGTTTCAGTTACTTTTAATAACGCATACATTTTTAAATTATTGCCTTGACCGACCCTGAGGTTACGTTTAGACAGCTGATGTAAACAAATACATGCAATTTGTTAAACTGACCACAACTGGTGCAACGCAGCTGTGCTCATTCGTTGTGAAAAATTGAACTTTGTACATGTCGTTGTCGATGATTTTGCTGACGTAGTGCTCCAAAAAAGGGGACCTTGAATTTTGATGTGTGATACTAACTCAAAAGTAGGGCTTCGTAAAAAATTGAAAGTGAGTTTGTGTTTTTAATCATTGTCACATTCTTTCCCTTAATCCTTTAGGAAATAATGTACAATAGTGTTAACAGGTTATCTACAACTAGTTATAATACAATAATATTTTTAAATCAAACACTATCCGTATCTTTGAAGCTTGAATGTATATCAGTTGTAAAAAAAATGCATTTCTATTATTTATAAAGTAAAAAATAGTGTAACAGGTTATCTACAACTAGTTATAACACATTAATATTTTTAAATTAAACACTCCGTATCTTTGAAGCTTGAATGTATATCAGCTGTTAAAACAAATCATTTCTATTATTTATAAAGTTGAAAATAATAAATAATAAATAAAAATATCAAATATAAAAATTCGTTATAATAATATATTTTGTATGGTAATGTTTCGATCTCTATGAACAAAATACATCTTCGAGGGTATTTGGTAAAATTGAGATGATCCTGAAAAACTATTTAGTTGAAGAGATAAAATTGAAACCTTTTCTCTTCTCGGAATAATATTTTATCTCGCTCCGGTCTCAAGAGCGCTTCGTAGAATGAAACGTAAATATCTGATAACCCGCTGTTGTTCCACCATCAAATTTATTTCCCCACCATTATGAAGATATACCATGTATATTGAAACGACGAGTTGCATTTATGAAAATACCTCATTGTGGGAGTTTTACTAATATAATATTTACACTTTATCAATTCATGGACGAATATTAAAAATTATTCTGGTAAATAGTAAAATCTCCAACAGAAAGTTCTTGTCTTAATTATGTCAAGGATCTCCTTAGTTAAACATATTACAGATTATCAACCGTTTTTTTAAGTTGTTAGCAGGAAATATTTTATTATTATAATGTTTATTTATTTACAAAATAACTGACATCATTTGCTTGAACATGGATAAAAACTGATACTAGTAGAATAAATAAACTGTGTTAAGTGGAATGCTAATATCTTTTCAAGGATTTAGTTATTTGTTATTACCACAAACGTTCAATTAATATGATATATCAAACCAATTCTGATCAGAATTAACTAGTATTCACTAAACCAATTAGTAAACACTAGTTTGTTTTGTTTTTCTATTAATCAGTAAACCGAAAGACTCTAATTTTATTTTCCATTACCATCGTATATGCTGGCATTTTTCGATCCATATATGCATGGTTTTTTAAAGATCGTAAGGATAACTCATATAAACTGTAATAGATTACAATGAATTTATTGTTACAATTGAACTAAAACATACGTATACGTATGTAAGATATCTGTAAATTTCAGCAAATGAGTGATTTGAATTGAGTTATAGTATTAGGAAAGAAAATGTTTTAAAATAATTCAACAAATACATTACAAATATATTTCAACAAATACAGAACAGAAAGTTAAATGATCAGAGAGGAGAGTAAGAGATGTGATAATAGAATTTAGCATCAGGTTTAAGTAGTACTAATGATAAGTGTTTAGTAAAAGATTTTACCTTGAAATATGTTCTTCTTCGTCTAAATCATGAGGTGTCTTGAGGTTTGAAATTTAGAGTTATTGAGAACAGTTAGAGTAAAAGGAGAGGAAAACTTTGTTAAATACTATAAGATAAAAAAAATAACTAAGAGCAAGTAATTGAGTACAACTGGTACAACATAGTTATTTTATTTCCAACGTGAGCACACTTTATACGAAAACAACCAAATCCAAAAACACATGTTAATATTTTATACCTAAAACATGTGCTGGAGCCAGACCAAAGGCAAAAACACATTTTATTCAATATAATACTTAACATATAGTTTTGCTGTTTAGTAAAGGAACGTAACAATGTGCTGTGCCCAGACAGAAATACTTGCGCAGTGTAATTGTAAACATAAACAACACGAGTGTATGCGGAGACAGACCGGCGAGGCTTATATTTCACCACCGTATCCTGCGTCTAGTCCTGAATGCCACCCTTATATGTATGCTAATTCTACCCTCCCTATATCTTACTTCAATGTCACTGCCTGTTTACATTATTTTCTTAGCCTCTTCGATTCTGTTCAAAATTAGATTTTCGTGCTGATATTGATTTGAGTATGACAGGTAAGTAATTTAACAAAATCAAAACCTTTTAATTATGATTAATTTCCTCGATGATACCCATAAGGTCACCGATTATATCCTGAGAAGTTTCTGTAGCATTTTGATGGTTTGAATCTGGAATTTGCTTTCTGTGGTCATTCGGCGTATAATAAACTGTCCTGGCAAAAATAAAAAAAACTTTCTTATTCATTAATAACGCTGTCATCTAGCTTATTTATATTTATACCAGCAGAGTGTGTTCTTCGTACTGGGTTGGCGTATAAGTATAAATTTCTTGTTGCAATTATACTCGTGCTTTGCGTTTGCAATGGGAGAAGACACGGTTTAAGCTAATATGGTTCTTTTAATTTACGGTATAGCACATCTACCATAGATATAGTGTTCTAGCACTGCACCTAAACAATAAAAAAAGTTTAGTTCTCATTGTGTATCAAAGCTTTTTGTTGCTGCTTGGTTCAAATTAGCTGTTGTCATAAATGCAAAAAAGATAACAGTGCTGTACCCTGTTGGTAAGCCTTATACCTTTTTAATGCTATTGAATATCATAGAACCAACTTGTGTAGTTGAAACAGCTGACAAAATTCTTTAATTCCTTTTAATGTGACTTTTTATGTCAATACTCATAAGTTTAACATTGGAAACTCCAGAGCCACTGGGGCA